GTTCTCTATCAGGACCATCCAATAAAACATTCTTCAGTGATGGAAATAATTGATATCTGAGCTACTCAATAAGGTACCACATGTGGCGTGGCTGTTAAGCCTTTGAATTGTAGCTAGTATGACTAAAGAACTGACTCTTTTCTTTTACTTAATTTTTTGTTTAAATGTAAATATAAATAACATTTGGCTACTGTCTACCATATTGGACAGCACAGGTCTGAATCAGTGAATCGAGACAGTCTTTGTCCTCATACCATTTTGATCATAGATATGCTTAATAAATATCTGTAATTTAAAAAGCTTCCAAATTAGAGTATTTTCCCTTATTTGGTAATATTTTCTAATTATAGATAGGTAATTATGGTATTTATTTCTACTTGATTGAAATTCATTATCAGAATTTTTCCTCTGTAGGAAGAAGACCGAAAACTGTTAGTTGGATTCTTAGAAGATGTAATGACCCTGCTTTCATTATCTCATGCTCCTCTTGATAGCCTGAAGGCTTCTTTTGTGGAACTGGGGTAAAAAATAACTTATAGTTTTTTAAAAGGCATATAAAGTTTTTAAATTGTATTTATAGAATATGTATTATAAGTCTAAAAGGATTGGCATACACACCAATTCTCTTAGTTTTTGAGACTTAAGATTTTTTTTGGTTTTGCTTATTTGTACTTTCTTAATATTTTGTAATCAATTCACTGTAATAAAAAAGTGGGGGAAAGGGTACGGACATATATTTTTTTAGAAGCAGTTGGAGAAATAAAATCAAGTACAGATTTAAAGAAAACTTAGTTTCCCAGAATTGAAAAAGGAGCCCCAAGTAAAAGCCAGCTCCCTACTTGGTCCTGCTCACAATCACATCATCTGGCTGCTAAAGTAGTAGTATCTCAGTCTTTGCCGAAAACAGGCAACATGCATTTATTAATAATACCATTTTATGTTTTGATAGGCTTCACAGCCAACATACCCTTTCTTTTTTTTTTTTTTTTTTTTTTTAAAAANGGCGCACTGTAGCAGTGCGCCACCGGGCCGGCCCAGCAGTTAATATTTTTCTTACTAAATAAAACTTTTTATTGAGATAAATCATAGCCCTATTTGCTTTAGTAAACAAAAATTATCGACTCAAATACATAGGCAGTATTACTGTTTTGAGATTTCAAAAATGAGAAATAAGAGTATAGTAAATTTTCAAAACTCGAATCTATGCTCATTTAGAAATCTATTTTATAGCTCTTATTTCACTCTTAGGTTTTTTTCAGATTTCCAGTTTATTTTCCAAAGTTATATCTACTCTATGTTTGATGTAGTAGGCAGCTGAAAATGGGTGAAATTTCTATTCCAGCATTGCCCAGATGCTGGTTAGTCAGTACCTACACTTTTTTACTAAGTACACTGCCATGTGTTAAAACTGCTATATCCATCCTTTTTTCATTTTGATGGTTACTTTTGTCCTTTATCTCTATCTCATTCTAAACTAACTTGACTACATAGAAAAAATCAGTAGGTGGTTATCCAGTCTTTCTCGTGGATTTATTGATGCATTCAGAAGCTATGTATTGTTGACCTCCTGTATCCCTAATAACAACATAACTTTATTATATAGTTATTTCCTGATTGAATGTTAGATTCTCTTATAGATTCAGGTTAATTTAACATAGGATTATATTTTTAATTCTCCGAATTTAACAGGTTTGCTTTTTCTAACATATTTCTTGATAGAGGTGCTATATAAAAAGAAATATTTTCTGATTATGAAAGTAGTCATGGTTCATTGAAGAAAGTTTGAAAAATACAGATTGATTTTTAATCAAGCGGTATGACTTCTTTCAAGAACTCAGTAGTCTGTATTTCAGCAAGTGTGCAGTTTTTTGCCACTAGGATATTACAAAGATAATATCTTGGAAATCAACTTCCTACTATTAGGAGGATAATTGTTTTGTAGTTTATGTTTAACTATGGAGAGCCAAATCTTATGGGAACTAAAACTGATAAATTTTAATAAAAGATATACTTTTAATGTTCTCTATCAGGACCATCCAATAAAACATTCTTCAGTGATGGAAATAATTGATATCTGAGATACTCAATAAGGTACCACATGTGGCGTGGCTGTTAAGCCTTTGAATTGTAGCTAGTATGCCTAAAGAACTGACTCTTTTCTTTTACTTAATTTTTTGTTTAAATGTAAATATAAATAACATTTGGATACTGTCTACCATATTGGACAGCACAGGTCTGAATCAGTGAATCGAGACAGTCTTTGTCCT